GCCCTCCCAACCGTGTTTTTGCAATGCAGATACCACTTCGATGTTTTCTAGATAGGATCGCTGAGACCTGAGGTCAGGAATATGTAACCCAGTTCTCTAAGGCCTGCCTGGGTACCCTCTTCATCAACTCACATCTGCTTCCTGATTACCTGCTTGTCTTGTTACACCTGGCCGGGCGTGTCGTCACGTGTCCTCAGCACCAGCCAGGGAGCGGCTGGGCTGTGCTTAGCCGCTCAGTCGTGTCCGACCCCATGGGCTGCAGCCGGCCAGGCTCCTCTGTCCACGGGGGTGCTCCAGACAAGAACACTGGAGTGGGTTGCCATGCCCTCCTCCAGGGGACCTTCCCGACCCAGAGATCGCACCCAGACCTCCTGCCTTGCTGGTGGATTCTTTACCCTCTGAGTCACCAGCGAGTGGGGACATATACAAAGAAAGTCCAGGGCCCTGTTCTCAGGAGCCCGCAGTCTGCTAGTGAGAGGGTGAACTATTGAGAGAGGGGAGACAGCGTGTCCTAGCTGAAGGTGGGGCCGGCTCTCCTGTGCCCACTGGCATAGAGCCTCCTCCTGTGGTGGCTGGCCCAGGGCTCCCGTGGGCACCTCTGCAGCTGTCTGAGGGAGGGCGAGACTGGCAGGGGAGAAGGCAGGCCCAGGACAGAGCCGCCCTGTGCATCTCAGCTGGGGCACTTCCGGAAGGCTCCTTTTCAAGGCAACAAGGCATATTTCTCTAGCTGTGAGCGTTCTTCCTAAGTCGCTTCAGTCATGTCTGACTCTTTGCAAACCACATGAACTGTAGCCCACCAGGCTGTCTGCCCATGGGATTTTCTAGCCAAGAATACCGGGATGGTTGCCACTTCCTCCTCCAGGAGATCTTCCTGACCTAGGGATCAAACCCACAGCTTTTATGTCTCCCGCATTGGCAGGCAAATTATTTTCCACTAGCGCCACCTGGTAAGCCCATTTGTCTAGGTACAAAGCTTTCAACGAAGCTCTGAAGGAGGAAGATGAGAGGATGCCATCCTGATGCTCAGGGAGCCCAGAGTCCAGGAAGAACCCTCACCAGGCCCGAGGGGGAGAGCCTCCCGCAGGTGGGGGGCAGCAGGACCCAAGGCGTCTTTCTCAGGTGGTCTCTGTCTCTCCTGCTCAGGCTTCCCGCCTGGGCATGGTCTGCTGGCTTTCTCTGCAACTCGTGCTCCCCTGCTGGTCACTATCACAGTCGCCCCAAGGATGCATCCAGGCAGGTGAGCCGAAAGAGGGCCCCTTGCAGGGCTCCTGGACATGGGAGCCAGGCCGCGGCTGTGCCCTCCACACTGGATGCTCTGGGCTTTCCCCCCTTCTTCTCTCCCTCCCTGGCGGCGCTGGGTGCTCAGGGCCACCCAGAACCAGAGGGTCCTGTGCCCTGGGACCTCTCTGCGGGGCAGCAGTCAGCCGCCAGCTCCCGGCTGCCTCGCGTCTCCTCCTCCTGCGTCGGCCTCCCCGGCCGGTCTGTTCTTTCGGCTCCCCCAGCTCGCTGTCTCTGCTCTCCTGTCTGATCTCACCCCTCTGAGAACCCAGCATCCAGCCTCCAGAACAGAGCTGGGAGGCTGTGACTAATGCACTTGAAGGTGAGTCATCTGCTAAATATAAAATGCCACTCTCTCCCTGCGAGCAGAAGACGCCGAGAGGCCTGCGTCCCCTCCCACCCCATCCATCCTTCCTCGGGGGACCACGTAGCTCTCTGAAGCTTATGGTGAACGGCTAACACAGAGAGCCTGGCGGGCAGCGGGGACTGCCTATCTCTTCGTCCTTGGCTTCTCCTGCGCGTCTCTGAAGCCACTGCATTTCCTGCTCTCGGAACTACTCTGGGTGGAAGGACTGAATTAAGAAGGGGGGAACGCCTGGCCCTCACGGAGTTATGAAGGAGCACGATTTGCCTTCAGGACTTGCTCTCTCCTCTTTCGGTCTGGTCCTGACTCAGGAGACCCCATCCTCTTGCAGAGATAAGAGGAGTCTTGTCAGCACCCAGGAGTCTGCATCTCCCAGAAGCCAGATGATGCTGAGCCACGGATGACTGACGAGCTGATGGAGGGTCTGATTCGGGCCCGTGATGGGGGGACAGGCGCCTCTTAGTGCCCTACACTGTTTTCTGCCTGGCCTTACTGCCGTGGGTCTTTGCCACCTTGGAATATGGGTCCTGGTAGCATATGCGTGAAACATCACAAGCATGTTTAGTATTTGACACTTACTTGGCGATCATCACAATCAATTTTCTCAACCCCATGAGAAGGATCTACCATGATTCTCAGTTTATAGATGAGAAAACCAAAGTTTAGAAAGTTGAAAACACCTGTCTGGAAGCACAATGCTGGAGGTGTTAGAACCATGATTAAAACCAGTATTTTATACTTTGTGGCTAAACCAGTAACTTTAAAATGTTTTTTGATGCCAGTTCATAGTAAGAAAAATATTTTATGTTGCAATGCAGCAAATAGACACTCACATGTGTATCATTAGACATATACACACATATAAAACAAATATTTGGGGAAACAAAACTTGACTGCCTTCTAATTTATTCTATTATCTCCTAGTCAGTTTCTTTAGCTTTGACTCTATGGACCTTTGTCAGCAAAGTGATGTCTCTGCTTTTTAATACGCTGTCTAGGTTTGTCATAGTTTTGTCTCCTGCATGGGCAGGCAGATTCTTCACCACTAGCGCCACCTGGGAAGTCCTAAGCATCCTCAAACCACAATAATTGTGGCACTGGGCAGTGTCTGCAAAGCTGAGTTCTCACCCTAGAGCAGGAACTAGGCAGGAACTAACTTTGTGACTTTTAGACAAGCCTCTCACAGCCTGGGTTTCCTCTTCCTAAAGGCTTAGGTGTAACTGAGTTTTCCTGAAGGACTTGGAAGCCCAGCTCACGTGTTTGTTTAATCACTGCAAGCCCTTTGCTTCTGTCTCTCCAGGAAGCAGAGCAGAGTTTCTCCAGGTGCGTGTGACACGTGTGTGTCACGTGTGTTACCTGTGCACACCTGTGTCACTGGGAGAAAGCTGGCTGGTGGCCGGGCAGGTCCCTGCTCTCTCGGGCTGGTGGGCTCTATCACGGCAGTGGGGCATGGAGGGAAAAACACGGTTTCCCCATTGAGATTCAGGATCTGATATGAAATGGCACATTTTCTCATGAGCAGTGTGATGGGAGTCCCCTCCTGATCCTTTTATTTGTCTTCCTACGTGTTTTGAAAGGTTGAGGAAAGACTATTTCAGTGATTAGGAGCTGTATGCGGTGGTAGAGAGAGACACAGGGGAAAAGGTGATGGTTTGATCAGTCAGTACACGTGTCCTATTCAGTAGGACCGGGCCCTGGTCTCCCCTCTACGTGGCTGTGCACCCTTGGAGACGGCCCCTCCGTCCATGGGCATGTCCTGGCCCCAAGAGACTTGGGTGAGGTCACTTTCTGCCTGGACCTCCTGGAATTAAGAGTTTATGTGGTTGAGGCAGTGTGTCAGCAGTTTTCCGGCTTGGAATAATTGCCTTTTTAACTGTGGGGAGCAGAACGCAGGAGGGTGCCCCTAAGATTGTCTCCCCAGAAGGTGACATGGCCTAGATCACAACGCAGAGGGTCTCAAGAGTTCTTATTTCGGGGGTCCCCTCTGCAAAGGCATTTGGGGACCAGGGATGGCTCCTGTTTCACCCCTCTCGCCCAGAGACAGGGAACGTGGCTTTGCTTTATGCCCTCCTCCACCTGGTGCTTCTGAAATGATCTCTGGGTGAGAGAGATCTTGGCAGAAGCCTTTCTTTAATGTTTGGTTCCGCGGGGGAGCCCAAGGTGCCTTTGGAACAGGGCAGACTTGCTGGGGCGCATCCGCGGGACGCACCTGCCCTCTAGTGGCGAGAGCGGGAAAGGCCTGGGCAGCCAGGGCTGAGCCAGCCAGTCTGCCGCCAGACCTCAGGGACTGCGGGAGACAGTGTGTGGACACTGGAGGCCCCACCGCAGCCCAAACTAGGCCGACAGGTGGAGGTCATTCCCTGGACCCACTCCAGGCCCCAGACGTGCGGTTTGCCTCACCCGTTCATGCGTGCATTCACTCAAGAAATACCTATGGGACTTTCGGGGCAGTCCAGCAGTTAAGACTCTGCGCTTCCACTGCAGGGAGCAGGCGTTCTCGGGGAGGTAAGATCCCGCAAGGTGGGGCAAAAAACAGAAATAAAAAATAAATAAAATCCAGCTACACTCCAACAAGCTTGCTGGCTCTCGCTAAAGTGGAGGAGATGTTCCTGGCTGTTACATTCACTAACTTGTTTTAATTTATAGATACCATGTATAACCTCAGTTAGTAAAGAATTTCCCTGCAGTGCAGGAGATTCGGATTTGATTCCTGGGTCAGGAAGATCCCCTGGAGAAGGAAATGGCAACCCACTCCAGTATTTTTGCCTGGAGAATCCCATGGACAGAGAAGCCTGGCGGGCTACAATCCATGGGGTCGCAAGAATCGGACATGACTTAGCAACTAAACCACCACCAACATAAGTGATATCATATAGTATTTGTCTTCCTCTGCCTGACTTATTTCCCTAAGCATAACAACCTTTAAATCTATCCATGTTGTTGAAAATGGCAAGATTTCATCTTTTTACAGCTGAGTAGTATTCCATTATATATACAGACACCACATCTTAATCCATTCATCTGTTGATGGACGCCTAAGTTGTTTCCATATTTTTGGCTACAATATTGTAAATAGTGCTCTATGAACATTGGGGGGCATGTATCTTTTCAAATTTGCTTTTATGTATTCTTTGGATATATACCCAGAAGTGGAATTGCTGGATCATATGGTGTTTTCATAATATTTTTAGTTTTTTAAGGAAGCACTTTACCCATTTTTATCCACTGTGTGGATAAACTGCATTTTATTTATTATTCATCAATTGATGCACCCAGAGAGAATTTTAGTACTAATTGGAGATGAGCTTGGAACTGATAGACTGAGTACCTTTTTCCCTTTCCGGATCAGGTTGCTAACATGACAAAACCAGTGAATGAGGGAGATGGCATGCAAGGTGAGGTGAGCAGTGAGGCAGAAATGGAGTGAGCCTGATGGAATCTGGAGTTTCATCTACTAACCAGGAGAGGAAAGTCAGGATCATCCAGGGAATCTGCAAGTGCTATTGAAAGTGGGGTCCAGCTGCTTGCTGCTCAAAAGCCAATAAAGAGGCAAGCTTGGTGGAAAGGAAAATTTGTTTTATTTCCAGAGACCTCCAACTGGTGAGGAGGGCAGACTCCTGTCAAAAGGCTGACTCCTCCCCACCGATAATCAGTGGGCAAAACTTTTAAAGGGGAGTTTCAGGGGTGTGCAAGCAGACAGAGGGGACTGTAAGCAGAAGCAACACAGTCAGCTCTGACAGTCCTCTTGAAATTGGTCCTTCAGTGGTCTGACCAGCGTCATCCTGGTTGTTCTAAGTACAGTTCATTTTCAGTTCCAGAATCAATTTGTTCCCATTGCCTTGAGGCCAGTTCTTGGAATTGTGGCAGCTTAGGAAACAGCTACAGTCTGATCATCACGTAATTCGCTTCTTCCACGTGGTATGTGTGTGTGTGGGGGGGGGGTCTCAGTAGTCATAAGAAGGTATGGCTCGGAATATTATCTATAGATGCTGAAGAGAAACTAAAGGTCCTTGACTTTGCTTAGTGACTAAACTATTATTATTTCGTCATGTTTAACTGTTTTCCTTTGCTTCTGCATTTTCTCACTTGTCTGATTTAACTTATTCTTTGGCTCGAGTTTTTCCACAGACGAAAGGCAGGTGGAGGACATGGGGTGGAGGGACCGTAGGCTCCTGCTCCGTGTCACAGGGATTCAACCTGATCTTTGTCTGCAGCTCTGGCCATGACACCATGAAGCCACAGGCTGAAAAGAGCATTTGTGCCAGGGATGGGGGTCAGCCCAGGGGTGGCTGCGACCTCATCTCCTCCCTCTCCTGGAAGCCCCGTTGGGAGGCAGCTGACCACACGCCTTCCCGGGATGTGCGTGACTGTCACTGCCCCTTACATGATGATCCGCCAGATCCTGTTATGAGTGAAATGAATGATGTCACTGTCCTCGCTGGCAAAGCCTGCGTCGTACCATACAAAGGCCAACTGCTGCAGTGGTGGGCTGGGGGGGCGGTGCCCAGCCAAGGGTGGGAGCCACCCTGACAATGAGCTCTTTCAACTTAGCAGAGGGGGAGCCACTGAGGGTGCAGACCGCCCCCCATCCACACGCCCCGTGCTGCAGTGTCTAAGCCGGGCATCCGGGGTGAAGCAGGAAATGAGGCCAGAATGCAGCGGAGTCGGAGCTGTGTTCTCGTGGAGGAACAGACAGGATGGGGGCGACTCTCTGGGCTCCCTTAGGCCCGGGAAGGGCTCACCGACAGCTGGACAGGCAGCAGCATCCACTCTGGGGCATCCTCCCCTGTGACTCCCTCCGTCTCACTCCTTCCTGCCCCTCCGTCCACCTGACCGATGGTGGTCGTCCAGCCTCGCCTTCTTTTCCCCTCTGGTCCTGTCACCCTTGCCCTGTGGCTTTTCCGGAGAGGCAGGGAGAACAGGAGAAAGGAAAGGAGACACAGACCTGTGTGACTGGGGCCTGAGGGCCGACCAGGCAAAGACAGAAATGTGCAAAGTTCCTCGTAGATTATCATCTTCAACACACATGTGTGGGCACACAAGTGCACACACATGCACACACATATGCATCTTCCCCTCATCCTGTCTCCAGGAATATTCCTCAGGTTTGGAACCAGTTACTCAGAGTCCTGGCTGAGGATTGTGCCTCGACTCACCTGACCTATAGTCGGGAGTCTTTGGGAAAAATAGCAGAACCAAGTTCTTACCACCTTCCCCCCACTCACCAGAGTGCCAGGTGTTAGAGGCTGTGTCCCCCTGACTCCGGGCAGCCCACTGCATCCCCAGCAGAACAGAACAAATGCTCAAAAATAGCAGAACCAAGTTCTTACCACCTTCCCCCCACTCACCACAGTGCCAGGTGTTAGAGGCTGTGTCCCCCTGACTCCGGGCAGCCCACTGCATCCCCAGCAGAACAGAACAAATGCTCGAAAATGCCTGCATTCAGTTATGTATTCTTGACACCCTCTGGCACATCATTCTCTGAAAATCTGTGTTGAATAAGCTCAGACTCCCTCTTCTTGTCAGGCAAGGCCACCCTTTGATTCTTTTCGTCCCAATAAAGCAAACCATGGTCTTCCTAGGGAAGTCAGCAGTAAAGAATCCGCCTGCAATGTGAGAGACTCAGGTTCAATCCCCAGGTCATGAAGATCCCCTAGAGAAGAAAATGGCAACCCACTCCAGTATTCCATGGAAATTCCATGGACAGAGGAGCCTGGTGGGCTACATCCATGCAGTCGAAGAGTTGGACATGACTTAGCGATAGTGTCATGCACTTATCAAGTGCAAAGGCTCTGGAGCCAGACTGCCTGGGTTTGAACCCTGACCCTGATCCCTGGGAACTGTGTGATCCTGGACAAGTCACTTAACCAATCCGTGCTTTAGCAGTTTCCTCCAAAAAAGTGGCTTTTGATAGGACCCAGCTCCTGGGTTGTGAGGATGGTCCTGGTTAGTGTCTATATGGTGTGTAGAACTGTGGGTGACCTTGGCAATGACCTCACGGAGTACCTACAATGTGACAGTGAGTGTACCATTCCCTGCATGTCACCCATACAAGTCCCAGCTCTCTGCCCTCAGGCAGGCAGCCTGCTCATCTCTCATAACCCCAGAGGCACTATGAGGGCAGCCAGGGCTCTGTGAGTCTGGGGGTAACTGAATGAAGAGGGGCTGACGTTGTTAGGTTTTTTATTGTTTTACTTCGGGCAGAAGGAATCCACGGTGACATCAGTAAAGACCTTATTTTGCAGTTGTGAGCTAGATGGTAGTTTTCCCCTAAGCTCTTTGACCTATATAGACTCAAGGGAGCACTTAAGTGGGTTGGGGGGGGGCATCACAGGACACCAGCAGGCTCCTCCCTCAGGGCAGAGCTGTGTCCATCTCAGAGAAAGGGCACCAGGCTGAGGTGGTCCTGCCTAAAGTCACAGTCCACGTCTCTGGATCCCACCTGCTTCCCAGGGGCTAGGTGGGCACTGCAGCAACTCGGATCCTCTACAGGGGACTTCCCACAGGTCTCCAGCGACAAATGCAAAGTTATCCACCCGGCATTGTGAGAACACCAGTGAGAGCTGCCCACAGAGGGCAACGGCAGCCTTTGGCATCATGTTACATCTTCCCAACATCAGCCTGATGGCTGTTTCCCACGGGGAAGTGACATTTCCACTATACGGCCAACCTTGGGAACTAACCTCTGTGGTACCCACTATGCCTGTCATGGGAGAGGGAGGACGGATAAGGGGGATGGATGCTGGTGGCACAGGTGGGGCTGGACTTGGAGGACCAACACCACCGTGGAGACGGAATGGGCCCGTCCCATCCGAGGATGGGAAGTGGGTGCAGGTTGCCAGGGAGAGTGCGGGGACCAGATTAGAATGATGGCAAAGCAGTGCATTGGGCTGTGGGCGGAGGGTCTGGCTGGACTCAGGGCAGCCTTGAAGTCTCAGCAGAACCGCTTGATTTGATTGTGTAGGAAATGGCATGGACTTACATGGGAAGACATATGACTTGTCCTCGGGATGGAGCCCAGCTAGGAAACTTTCCCAGGTGGAGAGAGGGCAGGGGCAACCCAGGTCTGCAGGGAGACATGTAACCAAGCTGCATCCTGCCAGCCCTATGGCTAAACCAAATCCTCACGGTGGGGATTATCCATTACTTTTTCTAGTTCTTTGAGATTCCTAATCCTCTTGGCCCTGAGCATGGATAATCCAAGGCTTACGTGCACATGATTTTTCACAAGCTTTCCCAAGACCTTGGTCTTGTCAGGAGGTGAAACTGAGGCCTTGGTTGTTGCACCCCTGAGNCATTACTTTTTCTAGTTCTTTGAGATTCCTAATCCTCTTGGCCCTGAGCATGGATAATCCAAGGCTTACGTGCACATGATTTTTCACAAGCTTTCTCAAGACCTTGGTCTTGTCAGGAGGTGAAACTGAGGCCTTGGTTGTTGCACCCCTGAGTCACCGAGGAGGGGGATGGAGCCTGTCCCTGCGGCTTCTAAACTTTCGGCTCTTTAGCATCTTACAGAGAGAGGAGGGAAAGGATGCATTGAAGAGAGGATGTTTGGACAAACAGCCATCTTAATGGCTTCTCAATAGAGGCGGGTGGGATTCCCACCCCAGCCCCCATATTCCTCCAGCCCATTGGTCAGCAGAAGGCTGGAGGAAGCCGGAGGATCCAGCAGGATCAGAAAAAATAAACTTAATCCTTCACCATGTGGGTGGGGAAGGAGGAAGAAGTGAACCTGAGACGGGGGGCGTGGTTGCCCTGGGGGCAGGCCTGAGGGTGTGATGTCCCCAGCCTGCCTGACTCTTAGGAAGAGTGTGGGGTACAGGGCGTGGGGACCCTAAGAGGGGACCGGTCTCCCTGCGAGGGGAGGGCGAGGGCTGCTGACCCTTCTGACTTCCTCCCCGTCCTCCCCGGAGCCGCCGCCCTTTACCTTCTGAGCAACCCCTCCCCTGGGCTGTCTGCCGCTCTGTCTCTCTGGATCTGAGACAGTGTCCCGTCCCCGGCCAGGTGAGGACAGGAGCCTCAGCACCTGGAAGTGAGTGAGTGTGAACACGAGTGTGTGTGTGTGTTGGGGGGNTGGGGCGGAGTAGAGAGCTTGTAGCCGGGGTGAGTAGGGGGCACTGCCCTGCACCCTGGAGCTCAAGGACCGGTCTGGGACCCATCACGGACCTCAACGCCCCCGGCGAGCGGCCAGAGCACGTCGGGCACCGACAGGAGGAGCCCGGGAGGAGCCACGGGGTGAGTGAAGCCCTGAACGGACTAGGGGTGGCTGGGCTTGGTGAGGCGGGGAAAGAAGCCTGGGGTGCTCAGTAGACCCGCAGGTGGAATGAGACTAAGGAAAGCCAGCGAGTCCGGCCTCTCTGCCCCTCCCCTTGGGCTGCACGACAGCCACGCCCCTCTCCTGGGCCCTGTAATATCAGGGGGCTCCAGGTAGGGGGCGCTGCCGAGAGGGGCCGCAGAGGTGTAAGCATCAGAACCGCGCTACGGCCCATGGACTCTCTCCAAAGGGGACCGTGGCGGGTGGTGGTCATCCAGTGTCCGAGGGCGGAGCAGTGGGGGCCCCCAGCCCGTGTCCTGGGTTCCTAGACCCTCAAGCAGTGGGGGAGGGGAGGGAGTAGGCAGAGGAGGTGGTCTACATGAGACGCAAACCCCACTTCTACTCCTAGGTGCTCACGATGGCCGGGGGCCCTGGAGAGACTCTGGAAGAAATACTTGTGGGCCTTTGAAAACGGAGGTAGGAGGTGGTGTCACTGGATGGAGTTTTTCTTATGTTTATTCCACCCAGACTAATGCCAAACATTCCGAGGAAGAAGAGCTGGTGACCAGCGTGGTGAGGGAGGAGCGGGTGGTGGGTGGACCTGGAGGCCAGCTTGCTGTCCCGCCTCCCCTTGCTTTTCCAGACCCGAGGACGGGGTCCTGGTTCCTGGTTCACTCGCCGCTGCCGGTCACCCTCCTCCTGGCCGTCTACCTCCTCCTGGTGGTGGCAGGGCCTCGCCTTATGTCCGGTCGGGAGCCTCCGAGTCTGGCAGGACCCCTCACTGCCTACAACCTGGGCCTGGTGGCTCTCTCGGGGTACATGTTCTATGAGGTAAGGCTGGTGGGGGACCCTGCAGTCCTAGGGTCTCTTTCCTGGGGGTGCCAGGGGGTGGATAAAACCATGATCTTCCCATGCAGACAACTGAGAAGCCTTGACGGGGACAGAGGGGCTGGAATTCTGGGTTATCTTTGGCTTCCATGTCTTCCCTTGTGGTGGTTCAGTTGCTCAGTCATTTCCAACTCTTTGTGACCCCATGGACTGCACCACGCTAGGCTCCTCTGTCTTCCATTACCTCCCAGAGTTTGCTCAAATTCATGTCCACTCATGCTATCTAACCATCTCATCCTCTGCCTCTCTCTTCTCCTTTTTCCTTCAGTCTTTCCCAGCATCGTGGAGATGCAAACCTCCATCACTCAAGCCCATTTTCCTTAAATAAAAAAGTGGAAGTGAGCGGCGAGCCTGAATGGAATTCATTCTCCACTTGCACCTAAAAGTCATCACTCCTGTCTCTGCCTGGGCTCTGCTAACCTCAGTTCCATTTTCTGAGCCCCAAACCCAGTGATCCTTCCAGTTGTGTTATCTGTCTCCCAATAGCAAGAGCGTCCAAGGCAGGGCTGTCTCTTACTTCTCTTGGTAAAGACAGGCCCCTCAGAAAATCTGGTACCATGTGGAAGAGGCTGACACCTTGTGAGACGTGTCCGAGAGCTTGTCATTTAATTGTGGTGACAGAGTACCCCGCTGCCCCCACGATCCTCGGAAAGCCTGCCGTGCCCATGTTGGCTTCCTGCTCAGAAGCCCTCTGTAGCTCGCTTGGTTGACAGGACCAGAAGGAAGAGTCTCTCATTTAAGGAATTTTATTTGGTTCATCGAGGTGGCTTGGGGCTCAGAGCAGGGTCCAGTGTGAAGTGTTTAGTACCATTCTGGACTCATTGTCACATGAGTAGACAAATGATAAAATTTCAGTTTCTTAAAACAACCTTCAAGACCCTTCATGAGGGATTTTGCTGACAATCCTGTGGTTAAGACTCCACACTTCCATGGCAGGGAATTCAGGAACAAAGATCCTTCATGCTGTGTGGCAGGTGGCCAAAAAGTTAAAAAAAAAAAATCATGAATGGATTCTGCTGGGTCCCTGCTCCTGTGACTGCCCCTCTGCTGGTAGAAGCCTCCACCACTGCCCCTTGCAGCCCCGGGCGTCAGGAGAAGTCCAGACACTCCTTCCAGCAGGCAGCTGTCTCACCCTCCCCTCTGCTGGCCCGACGGCCTCCTCATTGTGAGCCTGCTACCAGCTTCTGGCATGCTTCCTGTTTCCTACTCATCCTGGAAAGCGAGGATGACTTTCTGTATCCTTAGGGGAGCATTTAGCTTCCTGGGGGCGGGACTGATGTACACATGGCTTCATGTCCCCTCCTGACTTAGGGTCTCATGCAGAGTAGGTGCCCAGTGTGGGTTTGTGGTCCATATTTACCCACATTAAAAACAAAACAAAACTGGGGACCAGCAAGATGTATGCAAGGCCAGCCTCTGAGTTAGCCAGAGCTCAGGATTGACCTCTGGCAGTCGTTCACCAAGCGTCAGTGAGGGCCGGGGAGGGATGCTGGTGTACAGAATGTCCTCTCGGGCCTTCAACCAGTCAGGCTCTAGCCGTGTGGGGCGGAGCAGGCATCATGACTTAATCTTTCCCTGTTCTCTTCCTTCTAGTTCATGGCCACTTTGCTCCTGGCTAACTACAGCTACCTCTGCCAGCCAGTAGACTACAGCCGGAGCAAGCTTGGGATGAGGGTAAGACAGGCAATGGGAAAGTTGACCTGGAGATGTTACTAGAGTCTACACTCGGGCTGCTCGCAGGCCTCAGGCTGATAAGTGGGGAGAAGATGTGTTGAGGCAAGGAATACGCCTTTGATTGATAAGATGGCAGACTAATGTCTCAAAATAACCGTCATAAAGGGGTCTGGATGCCAGGTTCTTTTATAGAATGGAGATGGGAGGGGGTGAGGAAACAAAATAAAGAGGTCATTAATCTTGCATTTAAACATCTCCCAGAATGGCCAGCCTGAGAGTGGGAGTGGAGGGAATATGTTAATGTCTTCTTTCTTGCAGCCATTCACAGGTGGGCAGGGTCCAGATGTCTCCATGAACAAAGGCACTTTGGTTTAACATTCAAGCAGAGGGCCAGGGTTCCCCAAAGCAGGCCATTATGTATGGACAGTATCCTTTTAGTGAACAAAAAGCAGTGGGAAGAAGAGGTTAATGAACCAAGTCCAACATGTAGTCAGATTTTGTTCTTCTCTATAACAAAGAGCGGGTTCATAGGATGAACTTCATAAAAACCAGGTGCTGTCACCTGGGTCTTCTGATGGGACTCAGTGAAGATCAGCTCAGTACATGCTCAGAAGACCTCAATGTGACCCTCAGCTCTGCCAGTTCCTCACTGTGTGACCATGGGTAGCTTCCCTGCCTTTTACGGGCCTCAGTTTTTTATCAGTAAAATGGGGGATAATGACACTTATTTTATAAAAGGAAACAATTGGAAGAAGATTGAACAAGCTGATGTGTGAAAGTGTTCACACCTGGGCCTGGCACACATGGAATGTGTGGTAGCCAAGGGGTCACTATTTCATTTTTTTTTTTTAGCTGCTCTCTCAACTGGAAACAGAACAAAAGGCTTCCTTGCAGTAAAAAAAAAAAAAAAAAAAAAAGAACCTAGGCTTGGCTAGTCACCAGTGATTTGGGTGTTGAATCAAGGGAGATTGAATGGTAGACTCAAGTCTTGCTGCTCAAAATATGGCCCATGGGCCAGAGATGGCAGGAACATCACTGGGAACTTGTTGGAAATGCAGAAATTCATGGCTCACCCCAGGAACATAAGTTCAGAATCTGCTTTTTAACAAACAAGATCCCTGAGTGATCTGTGTGCTGGTTAAAAGTCATGGATCCTCATTTTCTCTGTGCCAACCAGTATCTTCATGCAGGCATGTGGGCAGAGGGACCGTCAGGGTTGGAGCCGAAGTCAGTGGTGCCAGGTCAGTGGTACCAGCAGCCTGACAGCACTCTGGCTGCACTTCCCCGTTCTGCCCAGCAGATGGCGTGCGTGTGCTAGTGGTGCTTCTCAAAGGCCGTTGAATCACTTGACACAGTGAATGCCTGCCCCTTGAAGAGAGTTACCTCTGGCAGCCAGGTCTGGGGTGGTTTTGAAGGCACTGTGAGTAAATGCCTCCCTCCAAAGTCCCTGTTGGCTACACCTGAGGCTGATGTCAGAGTCAAACCTCGATCCTACGACCTGGAGAAAGAAGGATGCTCACTGATGAAGCATTTGCCCCCATTAGCAACCAGGTTCCAGGTTAAGTGAAAATGGGAAGAGAAACAAACTTTAGAAACTGTTGTTATGCGGCAAGAGACATCAGAGAGCAGAAGCCTTAAGTGTTATAAGTAAAAGAAGTCTTGCTTGTGAATCCAGAGGTCTTGTGGGGGTGGGCGGAGGCCACAGTCTTGGGGGTGGTGATAAAGTCTCTAAGTGGAGTCTGAGTGGAGAACCTTAGGGAGTTTGTCCGATGGTTCCCCGGGTCCTGGGCTGGGTGTTTGACACCTGAGTTCTCTACCTGATGCCCTGGGGTGGGAGTGGGGGAGTGGTCAGGTTAATACTGAAAGATCCCAGCCTCTGAAGCCAAGTTATGTTCAAAATCCCAGCTTGGCCTCCTCCTAGATGTATAACCTTGAACAACTTGGGCTTGCTCGGTGGCTCAGCAGTAAAGAATCCACCTGCCAACGCAGGAGATGAGGGTTTGATTCCAGAGTCGGGACGATCCCCTGGAGAAGGCGATGGCAACCCACTCCAGTATTCTTACCTGGAGAATCCCGTGGACAGAGGAACCTGTCAGGCTTCACAGTCCATGGGGTCCCAGAGAGTCGGACACTGCTTAGTGATTGAACAACAGCAACAAACAACTTACTTAAATTCTGAGCCTCAGCTTTGCTGTCTCTAAAATGGAGATGAGTATAAACCACACACCATTATGAGTGTTTCTATGAGCTTTTATACATACGGAGTACCTGGCATACAGAAGGGGCTGTCCAGGCATTTGACCACGGCATCAGCCTTGAGTTTTAGCCTCGCTGTCGGTACAGCAGGCAGAGTCACCCTGTCCCTGGTAGCTGAGGCCCCAGGTGGCGTCTGGAGGAGCAATGACTGCAGAGTGGAGCCTTCTCTTCCTCCACAGGTCTTCTTTATATTATGGAAGAAGCCTGAGCAGATCACCTTCCTGCACGTCTACCACCATGGCACCATGCTCTTCAGCTGGTGGGCTGGGGTCAAATACGTGCTGGGGGGGTCAAGGTGAGTGAGCGGCTTGGGCAGGACTTGTGGGGCACACCTTCTTCTGCTGGACTGAGTGCCAGCTCGGGAGGCAGGCAGCCCGGCTCCCAGGTTCCCCTCCTCTGTGGCCCTGACTCCTGGCTGCTGCTCCCACTTTCTCTCTGTTGCTCCCTGGAGCCTCCTAGTCACCCCTCCTTGGAGTGGGGGAGGAGGCACCTGGAGATGCTCAAGGCCATCAGCCCAGAGAGGGCAGGAGGCATTGTAAGCATCCTCATCTGGCATCCTTGTAACCCACAGCCCACCTTCGTGACCTCGAGCAGCTCGTGCGGGACCCCCTGGTGACAGGGCCACACCAGGGCTAGTCTCTGTGGGGTGTGCAGAGATATGGCTCTTTGGAAGACTGAAACTGGAAGAGAGAGCCCAGAGCACAGGCAAGCCTGGAGCCACTCACTTCCCTCCTTCTTCCTACCCTGCCCTGCAGCCTTCTTCGTTGGACTGCTGAGCTCTCTGGTCCACATCTTCATGTACCTGTACTATGGACTGGCCAGGCTGGGGCCCCGCCTGTGGCCTCCGTGTGGTGGAAGCGGCACCTTACTGTCCTGCAGCTGGTGAGAAAGACCTGCTGGCTCCAGGGGCCTCAGCGGAGCCCTGGCTTCTATTCTCGACTGCACCAGTGACTTGTAATCTGACCACGAAAAAGTCCTTCTCGTCGCTTCCTTAGCCTCTCAACTTGCGAGGTCTCAGCAGCCATTTCGCCAGATCCTAGAACCGACCCTGATGTCCTGACCTGATGTGAGGCCCGGAGCAAGTGATTCCGGCCTCAGTCTCATCTTCCAGTGAAGTGAGGGGGCTGAGCTAGGTGCTCTTGGACGGCTAATGTCCTGCGAGTCTGTGGTCAGTTTTCCATCCCTGGGGAACTGGGGAGCCCTGTGGTTTGGGGAGCGCTNGATCCTAGAACCGACCCTGATGTCCTGACCTGATGTGAGGCCCGGAGCAAGTGATTCCGGCCTCAGTCTCATCTTCCAGTGAAGTGAGGGGGCTGGGCTAGGTGCTCTTGGATGGCTAACGTCCTGCGAGTCTGTGGTCAGTTTTCCATCCCTGGGGAACTGGGGAGCCCTGTGGTTTGGGGAGCACTATTGCCAACTGCAGGTGACTGCCTGAGCTGTCCCTTTAAGGGCTCAGGATAGATTGAAACCTTCATCAGTGTTGACATGATAGGGTGCGATGGGGAAAAAAGGGGGACCAGACCAGGAGAGGGGTCAGGAAGGTTCTTAGCATCATGAGCCAGAATGCCTGGGGTGGTGCTTCCTAGTTCTTCCTTGTTCTGAGCCCTGGGAGCCCCAGGGGGTGACAGGAAGGTCAAGGGGAGCATCTGCCAGTTCCTTTGCTTCTCACCCTCTGCCGTCTTCTCTTTCCTCCCGTACCTCCTCTCCCCAGGGTCAGTTTGTGGCCACTGCAGCCCACTCCTCCTACAATCTCTTTGCTGAGTGCCCCTTCCCCGACGGGTTCAACGTGGCCGTCCTCCTGTACTCGCTCAGCCTCTTGACCCTTTTCTTCAACTTCTATCAGCAGACATACCTGAGGAGCAAGCGGAAGAAACCGACTTAAGAGGCAGGACCACGGACTGAAACTAACAGAGGGTTCACATCCCACCTGGGCTGAGCAGATTCCTCTGGGCCCGGGTCTCATTCAATGAGCAAAGACAAGACTCACCTCTATTCCAGAGTCCAGGAAGACAGAAGTGGACTCAGCTTCTTGAACTTACTTCTCATGTGGATTTGTCACTGTTTGTACACCTCCTTTCAGATCCACAATAGAAAGGGTGTATGCGTGTGTGTGGGCGCTCAGTTGTGTCTGGCTCTTTTGCAACCCCACGGACTGTAGCCCACTAGGTGCCTCTGTCCATGGGATTCTCTAGGCAAGAATACTGGAGTGGGTTGCCATTGCCTTCCCCAGGAGATCTTCCCAACCCACATCTGTTCTCTCTCCTGCTTTGGCAGATGGGTTCTTTACCACTGAGCCACCTCTGCTAGATATGAGCCCCACAGGAGGGATTGGCTTACTCTCCAAGTTCCCCAGACCTGGAACAGCACCTCAATAAGTGGGCATTTGGATCCATATCTTGCCCCACTGGTGGTCATGACCTCCGATGAAGAGCAGGGCTGGGAGCATGGAGGAAGTCAAGGTTGGCTTGATCTCTCACCTTGTGGGTGGAGACAGTAAGTGAGAATGTCTACCAAGAAAGTGGGTCTGTGTGATTTCTAGCATGGATGTGCAAACAGTTCCCCTGCATATATCTCTCTGTTCATTAGTGGCTACATGTGTATTTACAAAGTTGTATAATTCTGTGTGTGTGAGTGGAGTGGCAGACAGGACTACACATATAGGTCTGAATGTGTGTCCTAAGTCACTCTGTGGACTGTAGCCCACCAGGCTCTTCTGTCCTTGGGATTCTCCAGGCAAGAATACTGGAGTGGGTTGCCATTGCCACCTGCAGGGGATCTTCCCAACCCAGGTACCAAACTTGCATCTCTTACGTCTCCCTCTTTGGTAGGCAGGTTCTTTACCACTGGTGCCACCTGGGGAGCCCCATGTGTCTGAATACTTGTTTTCAAATACATGTATATGCTTCCATTTATGATTTTCTTTGTTGGTGTTTTTAACTGCCTCTTCTGTAAATCTTGGAAAGTGCCACTCTGGCAAATAAAAGCTTCTGGGATCCATAACCCTTCTTTCCCAGTGGGAGACACAGAAGTCCATGAGAAGCCTCTGAATACACGTTTCATTGACAGCCTCCAAACAGGGATGTGAAAAAATGAGGGATGGGGTAAAACAAATGCCATTCACTTCACAGAGAGAGAAACGGAGTAGCAAAAGGAAACGTACAACTGGGATCACGTTGGGTGTTGGGAGCAAACATCTGCTGGGCTGTTTAAGACTGCAACTGGATGGGTGTCTGGAATGCGGTTTTCCTGGGAACTGTGGCAAAGAACCCTTGGCGTAGTGGTAAAGAATCCACCTGCCAATGCAAAAGATACAGAAGACGTGGGTTCTATCCCTGGGTTGGGAAGATCCCCTGGAGGAGGAAGTGGCAGCCCACTCCAGTACTCTTGCCTGGGAAATCCCATGCACAGAGGAGCCTGGCGGGCTACAGTCCAGGGGGTTGCAAACACGACTGAGTGACTGGCCATGCAAGAGCACACGCTCCTCTTGCCTGCAAGATGCGGTTTCTCCTTTATAATCTCCCCCCTTAACCCTTTCCTTCACTGAGGAGGTTTTTATTTTCTGATGCCTCAGCAGTTAGGAACGTTAAAGACCCGCTGAAGTTTCTGCAGGGCTATTTGGGGACTATTTATCCATCAGGTACTCTAGTTAATTAACTCAGGCTAGGCAGGGCTGTATCCTGTGGACAAAATGCTCAGAGAAAATTCCCTCCTAGTTATGCAGGATATGAATGCCTCCCACACACTTTTGCACAGCAGGTTGAGTGTCTTCGCAGGTGGGGGGTCTTATTTTAAGGCAATCTTGAAAAAAAAAAAATTCCGCACCAGAGTAAGGTCTGTTCGTTTGCTTAGCAGCCAGGATAAAGGAAGGATGAGTCATCCCAGAGTACAGAGCTAATATTTGTCCTTCGTGACTGCCTCTCCTGATTAAGCAGCGCAGGAGGAAGTGCTGTATGTCCTGGGTCACGTCTGAATGAATAAGATTTTGGTGGGGAGAGCCTGGTGTGAGAAAGCTCGGTGGAGAGGGTTTGAGGAAAAATTCTCAGGGAGCTGAATGTGTCCATCCTTTTTTTTTTTTTTTTTAAAAAAAACTTGCCCTTTGTTGTGACGACTCTACCTGGTTCAGGGCTGCTGAGCAGGATGTTGTATGTATATTAGGGTAGAAAGGTTGTGTGAGATTACAAAACAAAGTTATTTGGATTTGTCAAAACACAGCCAGATTCCTAATTAATATGGTGGGGGTTCATCTCTATGAACACTTAAAGATAATGGAAGCAAGGGTGCAGGTTAGATTTTTAAATATATAGCGTGAATTCATGGCTTCAGTTGTGTCCAACTCTTCTCGACCCCACAGACTGTAGCCCACCAGGCTCCTCTGTCCATGGGATTTTCCAGGCAAGAATACTAAAGTGGGTTGCCACTTCCTTCTCCAATCACATAGGATGTTGCACTTCTATTAAAATGTTCTCCAAGTCAGCAGCCTCCAACCAGGCCATACCTGAAGCCTCCCTTTTCCCACTGTGGAGCTTTCCTATCTGTCTGCCTTTGAATCACTGCCAAAATACAGAGATTCCTGCTCTAGCCAGCTCTGAATACACAGTCTTCACTTGTTCCCGTTGGCTCTGGTTTTGTTTATTTCCACATCGGGAAGTCTTCCGGGCCAGAGGGTGTTATGGTCTACCTACACTAGGGAGGACCCAAGACATTGCCCCAAATTTTCCTATGACTTTCCTCTAGCCCAGGAGGTAGGCTTGCCAGATAAAAGGAGGATTCCCAGATACACTTGAACTCAAAAGAAAAAAAAAAAAAGAAAATTTTTAGTGTAAATATGTCCCAGGCAGTATTTGGGACATACTTATGCTAAAAAATGTATTTGTTGTTTATCTGAAGTTCAAATATAATAAGGTATCCTATATTTTTATTTGCTAACTCTGGTCATCCTATATGAGCAATGAGACATTCTCAGGCTCCAGTCTGACAGGTGGAAACAAAAAGTTAAGAAAAAGGAGAGAGAGACGGCCTGGTGGGGCTATAAGAAGTTTCAGAGCTAACAGGAGGGGGAACACATTGGAGGTGATGTAGGAAGCCCTTCCGGGATTGAATGAGGGTTCAGCATCATCTCACGGGATTTCCAGGCTGGAGAAGGGATGCCAATGAGAAGTGACTCTTCCGGTTCATTGTAGCACTGATTACAGTAGCCAAGATGTGGAAACAAACCGAATGTCCACCAAGAGAGGAATGGATGAAGAAGATGTGGTGCGTATATATAATGGAGTATTACCCAGCCATTGAAAAGAATGAAATCATGCCATTTGCAGCAACATAGATGCATTTAGAGATTGTCATACTGACTGAACTCAGGCAGAGAAAGAGAAATACCGTATGACATCCCTTATATGCACAACCTAAAAAGAAATGATACAAATGACCCTATTTATAAAACAGAAAGAGACTCACAGACTTAGAGATTGAACTCATGGTTACCAGAGGGGAAGGAGGGGGGAAAGGGAGAATTAGGGTGTTTGGGATGGACATGTACACACTACTATATTTAAAATGGATCACCAGCAAGGACCTACTGAATAGCACAAGGAACTCTTCTCAATGTCATGTGGCAGCCTGGATGGGACAAGAGACTGGGGGAGAATGGATGTATGCATATGCATGGCTGAGTCCCTTTGTTGTCTATCTGAAACTATCACAATATTGTTCATTGGCTATGAAAGTGAAAGTGTCATGGCCGACTCTTTACGAGCCCATAGACTGTAGCCTGCCAGGCTCCTCTGTCCGTGGGATTCTCCAGGCAATAATACTGAAGTGGATTGCCATTTCCTCCAGGGGATACTTTCTGACCTAGGAGTTGAACCCAATTGATCCAATCCAATCTCTTGCACTACAGGCAGATGCTTTACTCTCTGAACCACCCCAGTTCAGTTCAGTTCAATCGCTTAGTCGTGTCCAACTCTTTGTGACCCCATGGACTGCAGCACACCAGGCCTCCCTGTCCATCACTCCCAGAGCTCATGTCCATTGAGTCAGTGATGCCATCCAACCATCTCATCCTCTGTCGTGCCTTTCTTCTCCCACCTTCAATCTTTCCCAGCATCAGGGTCTTTCCCAATGAGTCAGTTCTTCACATCAGGTGGCCAAAATATTGGAATTTCAGCTTCAACATTAGTCCTTACAATGAATATTCAGGACTGATTTCTTTTAGGATGGACTGATTGGATCTCCTTGTAGTTCAAGGGACTCTCAAGAGTCTTCTCCAACTCCACAGTTCAAAAGCATCAACTTTTTGGCGCTCAGCTTTCTTTATAGTCCAACTCTCACATCCATACATGACTACTGGAAAAACCATAGCCTTGACTAGACAAAGTAATGTCTTTGTTGGCAAAATAATGTCTCTGCTTTTTAATATGTTGTCTAGGTTGGTCATAGCTTTTCTTCCAAAGAGCAAGCATTTTTTAATTTCATGGCTGCAGTCACCATCTGCAGTGATTTTGGAGCCCCCAAAAGTAAAATTTGCCACTGTTTCAACTGTTTCCCCATCTATATGCCTTGAAGTGATGGGACCAGATGCCTTGATCTTAGTTTTCTGAATGTTGAGCTTTAAGCCAACTTTTTCATTCTCCTCTTTCACTTTCACCAAGAGTCTCTTTAGTTCTTTGCTTTCTGCCATAAGGGTGGTGTTATCTGCATATCTGAGGTTATTGATATTTCTCCCTGTAGTCTTGATTCAGCTTGTGCTTCATCCAGCCCAGCATTTCTTATGATGTACTCTTCATATAAATTACATAAGCAGGGTGACAATATACAGCCTTGACATGCTCCTTTCCCTATTTGGAACCAGTCTGTTGTTCCATGTCCGGTTCTAACTGAACCACCCTGGAAACCTGTAAATTGGCTATGCATGCATGCTAAGTTGCTTCAGTTGTGTCCGACTCCGCATCCGCATGGACTGAAGCTTGCCAGGTTCCTCTGCCCATGAGATTCTCCAGGTGAGAATTCTGGAGTGGGTTGACATGCCCTCCTCAAGAAACTGGCTATACTCCAATATAAATTTTAAAAATTTTACAAAGAAAAATGAAGTGATTATTCTGCTGCAGGGGTATGCGATCAAGACACATTTAGGCCTGGAAGTGGAGGCCTGCTTCTCACCAGGGCTGCAGCGGC